AAACAGTTTATTTTTTCAGCTAAAAAGGAATCAGTTTTTGTTAATTCCCAAATGTTTTGTTTAGATAATTTTGTTTTTTGTCTTAAAAGAGTGTTTCGTATTTTAGCTCTTTCTGTTTGTATTGTGACTATACTTTCTAGTATTCTTTCATTATCTTGGTTTATTTTTTCATGGTCAACAGAAACTAAATCAGAGTTATCTAATGGTTGTTCTTCCTTTGTTTCTGTATCATCTATATCATTCATCTCCTTTAAAAATGCATTACTTGTTGACATCCTGAAACTTAAAATAATATTTTTTAGTTTTTATGTTATATTATTTAATTAATAAGAAATGATATTTATTTTTTATTATTCTTTCTTTTTGATGTTGAGGAATACAATTATTGTTTATTTTTTTATCTAGAAATTCTTAGAAATTATTTTTTTTTAAATGTTAAAATTCTTTGTTATTATTAATCCTTTCTCTCTTATTGAAGGATATGGTCCATTGTATTTCTTTAATAAAACATTTTTTATTATTCTTCTTTGAATTCTCTTTTTTCTTTTTCTATTTTTATTCTTAAAATAAGCTTATCTGAACAACATTTTCTATAACCTGTGTTTTATCTTTGAAACATTGTGAATATTTTTCTGAGTTAATTTCCACAGGCTCTTCTTATTTGTTTTGATTAATACCTTCAAATAAAAGTTTTTTTTCTCTTATTTAACTTTTATTAGTTACTCCATTACTTTTGTTTATTCTTTAATATCTCTTATAAACATTCTGTTCTTCTTTTATTCTTCCTGTTGTTATATTTATTTTTAAAATCGCTTATATCTCTTTCATTTATCAATGAATAAACAAGAGACTGAATTGTAATATTATAAAGATAATTTAAAAACTAAATAAATAATGGTATTATGTTATTAGTTCATTTTGATGATTTCAATACTGAAAGTTGTATTCAGTGAGTATATAATATAAATAATATTCTATCCCTTTATTTTTATTTGATAATAAATTATTATATCAGTTGTTTTATATTAAAACTATTATTATAAAATATTATTGAAACATAAAATAATGAATATTTATTTTGATTATTATTGGATGTATATAAAGATGAATAAATGATATGTCGAATAATGGTTTATAAAAAAATCATATAAATAAATTAATGAATATATGTACATATTGAAGTTATCAGTAAAATATCAAAAATAATATATTGGCAATAATTTTATCAAATTTTTTATTTTATTTTCATTTATAATATTATTCATTTAAATATATATTACTTCTATATCTATTTCATTTTTTTAGTATTTTCAAATATTACAATATATAATTGTATCAAACTGATTTGTTATTGATAATATTAAAATTATTTTTCATTTTTTTTCAATATAAAAACAGAGTATTAAAAAACAGCAATAAAGCAATTCATAATAGTATACAATGAGAGTTTATATGAAATAGCCATACTAATAATAATTTGAAAGAAAAAATAAATATTTGATAAGAATATGAGAAAAAGGGAATTATAATAAATAGAAATAAAATAAATGGAAAATAAAATAGTACTAAAAATAAAACATAAATAAAAGAATAATATAAAATAATAATAAAATACAATATAAAATAATATCAAAAGAAAATTCAATAAAAGAAAAAGCAAAAACTGGAAAAACATAAATAAAAATTGAAAGTAAAACAAAGGACAAACAATTAAAAAAATAAAAAGAAATAAAGAAATATTTACTATATTCACAATAATAAACAACCTAAAAGATGTAATAAAAATATATGAGATTTTATAGAGAAATGGTCAAAGAAAAGACAGAGAGAAAAAAACAAAATAGTACTATGAGATACATAAAATTATACTAAGATTAAATTTTTTAGAAGGGGTTAACAATCAATGTTTTCATTAATTAAAACCACCTGAACCACAAATGTTTTGACTCGCCATAATAGAATAAATTGGTTGAAGTTCTGTTTGGTTAATAATTAATTTTTAATACTAAACATCAAATAGACATAAAAAACTGACTAAAAAGAATATGATAAATAGAAAAAAACTAAAAATTAAATATTATTGTCATAAATTTATTGTTTATATTTATGGTATTAACTATTCATATTACATTCTACTTCCCATGGTATAGACATTTTATTTGTTTTTACGTTCCATGAACACTTTTTACTTTAACTTCTTTTTTTTGATCAGATATTTCTGTCAAGTAATGTTAATACAAAACATTATTGATGTAAAATCTATAAAAATTAAAAAAGAAAAGACAAATAAAAGGAAAAAAAGAAAGAGAAAAAACATCAAGAAGAGAAGGAAAATAAAACTAGAAAATAGATAAAAGATAAAAATAGATTATAAGATTCGCCTTTAAACTAGAAAAGAAAATATTAATAGATTTGTAAAAAGTACTGAATAAACCAAATAATAAAAATGTCTAAAACACCGAGAGAAAGAGCAGGAAGAGAACCAAAAATGGGAAAAGTAGGAATGCTTACCATTCAATTTGAAGATTGTAAGGGTAGTGCATTAGGATATATTGTATGTGATGTTGACCACCTAACATACATTACTACAAAAAAGAAAGCAAGTAAAACATTAAAGATAGATGAAACATTATATTTTCCAATAAATAGTGCAAGACCAAACATTCATTTCTTTTTATATAAACCACGTTTAATTGGAAGTAAATGTGTTGGATTTTATCAATTAAATATGGCAGATATAAAAGAAGGTGATGAAGAATTACATTACGTTCAAAGCATAAAGAAACCTAAAAACATTCTTGAGCCAGACATTGGAGAAGTTAGACCACCTGAAGAAACTGGAATGGGAAATGATAAAAAGAAAAAAAAGAAAGAAAAAGTATTACCACAATTTAAAGTTTCAATGAAATTTACACCAATTCCAGTAGAAGAAAAAAAATTAGATGGAATTGTTCTTGAAGGAGAATGGAAAAAAGGATTTGATTCAGGAAATATTATTTCAAATCCTAGATGGTATGAAAATCCACAATTTTTATTAACATTAACAGGAAAATTACATATTAAAGTATGTTTAAAACAAGATAATATTAATAATAGAGTTACATTCTTTATTGTTAAATATGACCAAGTATTTTATGAAAATAGACCATTAACTTTATTTGATCCAAATGAAGTTATTAAAATAGATGAAAATTTCTTAAATACTATGGCTTCTGATAATATTGAACATTCATTTGAATTGGATGCTGGTTCTTATGTTATCATTCCAACTAATCTTAATAGAATTTCTAGTATTAATCCAGAACCTTATCATGGTAAATTCAAAATTGCTGTTTCAACAGAACATATGGAAGCTATTGAATTTATTCCAATTGATTATAACAAACAATGGAAATTCTTTGAAGATAGTAAAAAGTGGACACAAACTAGTAATGGAGGAGCTGATAGAGGAAGTCCATATGAATTTTATCATAATTACCAATATGTAATAGAAACCAAGAAGGATACTAAAATGTCTATTACCATGGAACAACCTGATAATAAAAATAAAATTGGGTTTTATCTTTTTGAAACAAAACAAACTGATAGAAAAGAAATTGATTTTGGTGAATTGGTTGAAGAAACTTCAAACTTGATTTCAAATGTTTGTGTTGGAAAGAATTTTAAATTAAGAGAAGGTAAATATATTTTAGTTCCATGTACTTCAGAAGCTGGAGAAGTTGGGGAATTTAAATTAAAAATTTATTATGAAGAAGAAAGTGTTATAATTAAAGAATTAACAAAAGAATGGTCAAACATTGTTTCAGTTAATGGTGAATGGAACGAAGGAACAGCAGGAGGAAGTGTTGATGATCCAGATTCATTTATAAAAAATCCACAATATCTTATTAAAGCAAAATACAATAAAGAAGAATGTAAAGACATTATCATTTTATTATCACAATTTATTGGAGTGTCAGGAAAGATTGAAAGTATTGGATTACCAGTATTTGTTAATCTTGAACAAAGGTTAGATGCTGATGATATAAATGAAGATAATTTAGTTAATTTACCAGAGGCATGGGTAAGAAATAGAAATGTATTTACTTGTTTTGAAGTCGATGAAGAAGATGGATTAGAAGTTATTGTCATTCCATCAACAATGAAACCAAATACATTTGCTAATTTTAAAATTACTATTTTAACTGATGTGAAAGATGTGACAATTGAGGCATTAGAATAAATTTAATTTCTTTCATTTTTCAATATATTTTTAATGATTTTATTTTAATAAATTGTTTATTTGATTCAAAAAGAAGAAAAATAAAAAAACCCTAAAACAGAAATAAATTAAATAAATAAATATTCAATGCAGAATCAACAAAGAAAACTTGATGATGAATCATTACATATTATTAAAGAGTTACAACAAATACCAGAGAGTAAAAAAAATTTTTTAACAGAAATATATTTTGATGTAGCAATAACATTTGGTAAAAGAACAGAATATCGTATGTTATATTTTAATTTTAAAACAAGAAAAATATTTTTCTTAAGACATGCAAAAGTTCGTGAAGAAATTTTATTTTCATCATTATCACAAGTTGGACTTGATGATAAAATTAAAATTATTTGGAATGACCTTTTTGGTAATGCTACAACTCATTACATTATAACACAGTCTTATAGTGATACTGTACAAATATTTTATTTATTAAGAACTTTATCTTTTCATCCTCTTTCTAGATTTTTTGAAGAAGATTTTAAACATGATATCGTTAAAAAAAAATATTCTGTTAAATGTAAAAAAAGAGGTCAAACTGCTTGGGCTCATAGACAAATGATTATTTATAATGGAGAGTTTATTTTATTCGGTGATAATCCTCATGTCCCTTTAACTATCTGTCCTTTATCTTCTAAAGTTTCTTTTAATATTCATGCTAATTATATTCTTGAAATTAATACTGCAATTAGAAAAATTATTCTTTCTTTCTCAAATGATCAAGAATTAAATATGACCTATAACACTTTAATGACTTGTGAACAATTCATTCGCCCTCCTGTAATTATTAAAGTTCGTACATTCACTTCAAATAAATTAGCATATTTAATTAATAGTTGTAGAGATATATGTATTAAAAATATGTTATATCCTGATGAATGTGTAGAACATTTTGCAATTTTATGTGAAATATTACGGGCTGTCACAAAAAAACGATCTGTAACACAAGGAAATAAAAAAGAAATTATGATAGAAGAAGATGAATATTTGAAGAAACCACAAACCGGTAAAAAAATAATATACCCAGAAGATGAATTAAAACAATACTGTTTGACTGATGATCCTAAAAAGTATTATAAAAATTTTATTTCAGTAGGTAAAGGTGGATTTGGAGATGTTTATAAAGTTCAAAGAATGGATGAACAAGGGTATGTTGCACTAAAAGTATTAAAACATTCTGTAGAAGAACGATCAGAAAAAATGGGAGTTGAAGTTGCTCGTATGAAATTGTGGAATCACCCAAACTTAATCAAAATGATTGGGTGTTGGTTATTTGGTAATCAAGTATTTATTTCTATGGAATATTGTTCATTAGGGACGTTAAAAACAATAATAAAAAGTCAGCCAATGCCATTACAAGATATAGCTTATGTTATTCAATGTTCGTTAAAGGGGTTAGAATATATTCACAAACAAGGATTTATTCACAGAGACATTAAAACTACTAACATCATGTTAGATGGGAATTATGATGTCAAGATTATTGATTTTGGATTAGTTGTACGTATTAATTCTAACCCATCAAATAGGGCTGGTTCAAAATCGTATATGGCTCCAGAAGTTATTAAACAAATTCCATATAATGAGAAAGTCGATGTTTGGAGTATTGGATGTGTTGCTCAGGAGTTATTTGAAACACAACCCCCATATAAAGAACATGGAGTAATTAAAGGGATGTTTAAAACAGCAGTGTATGGAGCAGAGGGTTTAAGAGATATTACTAAAGTACCAGTTGATTTTGCAGACTTTATTAATAAATGTTTTATTTTTGAAAGTAAAGATCGAGCCTCTTGCACAGAATTATTAACGGTTTGTTGTTTAATTTTAATTTCCTTATAGGTAGATTATATTCATCTATAGTGTTCATTTTTTAACTTGTCTAATAAGTCTAAATATTTCCATTAAAATGTTAGTTTGTATAATTTTAAATTATTCATTTGTCTTTTCAGGTTGGTTTCATTTCCTTTAAAAATGATTGAATCTTCAGATTTTATTTTATTAACTATAAAAGGAATTTTAAATAAACTTTTTCAAAAAAAATAAAAATGAAAGAGAAAAAGAACTTCTAATAAAAAGACAATGTCAGTTTGTGGTTTTTACTATTTCTGAATTAAAAGATAACTTATAACTGTTTTTAGTGTTGTGGAAAGGATACAACTAAAGAACGAGGACAAGCAATTTTAGATATTGTTGATGCTGATACTATCTCAAGTAATACTTTTAATGAACCATCTCTTGATTATATTTTTAAATACATTATTATTGGAGAATTTTCTGTAGGAAAGACTTGTCTTCTGATGAGATTCCAAGACGGAACTTTCAGAGAAGAGTATGAATCAACTATTGGGGTTGAATTTGGAACAAAAAATGTTCAGATTCAAGATACACTAATAAAACTCCGTATTTGGGACACTGCTGGTTCAGAAAAATTTAGGTGCATTACTAGGGGATATTTCCGAGGATCTATTGGGGCTATTATTGTTTATGACATTTCAAATAGAAGCACTTTTGAACATATTGATGAATGGGTACAAGAACTAGAAAAGTATAACTCAAGTAATTATGTTCTTATGATCATTGGTAATAAGTGTGATTCTTCTCAACGTACAGTTACTACTGATGAAGGTAAGGACAAGGCCAAAAAACTAAACGCTGAATTTTTTGAATGTTCTGCTAAAACAGGAGAAAATATTGAAAAAGCTTTTATGACATTGACGGAACTAGTATTGAGAGATGTTAGTTCAGGAAAGATTTCATTAGAAAATAATTAAATAAAAGAAGGAGATGGTTTATTGACTTGACACCAGATATCTATGTCTTGTTTTGAATAGAATTAAATCAAAAAACAAGTTTTTGATTTGAATGAGAAACTGAAGTAATTTTAAAAGAGATTTATGTCTGTTTTTTATTTCACAATAGTTTGACTAAAAATAAATTGAAATTTCATGATAACAGATGACTTATTCATATCTATAATTAATATTGATTATAAAATGAAATCTTTAAGACTTAATTTTTGGAAAATGAAGTAATAAAGTAAATAGACTATACTCTTCTATAGTTATTTTATCATTTCTTAGAAGATTATTTAATATTTTTCATTCTGATCAATGATTTAAAAAATTTATAATAATTATCAAAATATATTTTATAATATCAGTGAATGATATATAAATTATTTTGTATTTTACATTCTTTAATTTAAGAGAATAATGATTGTTTCTCATAATTATTCAATTTCATTAATTAGTCAGTTATAATAAAATGGATTTTATTAAATTAGAAGAATGAGTGACACAGACAGTTCAAATTTAATTTATTTAGTTATAATTTTGAATAACCTTATTTATTGCAATTCCAAATAATTTAATTTTTAATATTCATTTCTATATGGTGTGTGTTCAATTTTTTCATAACAAATTATTATATTTATTTTATTTAATATTTCATTATATCTTTATTTATGATAAACATAAATAATTGATAATAACAGTGGATATATTATAAGCTAATGATGTAAATGTCAGTCAGAAAATCCTGGTTATCGTTTAAAGAGAAGAGGTAATAATTACTTATTTAAAAATAAAAAATGGAGTAAAATAGAACTAATAGAACTAATAAAAGTGAAAAGATGCAAGTAGAAAAAGTAATAGGAATTGAGGTTGATTATAACAAAATTATGGTGTGTTGCTATGATGGAAAAGAACATGAAATGGTTGAGTTTAATGGAAAGAAGTACTTAACACCAATCGTTGAGTTTGAAGATGATATAATTATTGGAAGAGAAAAAAATGATAGTGCTGTCAATGGCACAGTTATTGAAGAGGTAATAGGAAATGGGTGTGATATTGAATTCTTAGAAGAGGAAGTTTGTGGTCAACATGTAACTTTAAAACCTGAAATTAAATTAGCACTCATCTTTGAAAAATGTTTGAGTGAAATTCAAAAGAAAGAAAGAGTAAAGAAGATTATTATCTGTGTACCAAATGAAACACATGATGGGAGTAAAAGAAGAATAGAAGTAGCAGCAAAACTTGGAGGAATGAAAAACTTTGAAGTAGTTCGTAAAGTGGTTTCATTGTTTTCAATTATTAAAATAGATAATAATTTAGAAATAAATGCAAGACCATTTATTATAGTAGAAACAAAAGGTGAAGAAATTTATATAAGTTATGGACTTGTAAATAGAAAAAACAATAAAAAAATAATTGGAATACTTGAAAATAAAATAATAAGTAATGAAAATCAAGAAAAAGTTAAACAAGAAATTATTGGTATGATAGCACTAAGTCAACGTGAATACAGTGAGAATAAAATAATTTCATTTTTTGGAAACACTTATGGAATTACATCAGAAGAAATTAAAAAACATGGTATTAATGATTTTGAAATAAAAAAACATGAAATAGATGAAGAGCTATATTGTAAGGCTGCTGCAATGATCCCAGAAAATAATATTGAGGAAGATGAATTACTACAACAAAGAGAAGTTATTAAAAAGATAAACTCTTTAAATACCACAGCTGAACAACAAAATAATGAAAACGTAAACAATATAAAAAGAATGAAATTAGGATGTAATGAAATAATGACAACATCAATGTATTTTAATGATATTAAAGATTTTATTAATTTAGAAATAGGAATTAAAAGATTTCAAGGAAATATGGAACGATTTCATTTTAATCCAATTCCTTTAAATGAACATTCAAGAAAATTCTTTCCTAATATTGAAACATTTTATATTTATATTATAAGTGATGAAGAATTTGATGATGGAAGAATAAATAAAAAAATAATATGGGATAAAGTTAATTATTTAACATATTTACAAGAAAAAGAAGCAGGAAATATCTGTAAAAATATAGAATATACAAAAGAAGATAGAAATAAATATGGAACTATAATACCATCAGAAGTTAAATCACTTGGAGATGAATGTTTTAAAGATTGTACTACATTAACATCTATTACTATACCACCATCAATTAGGAAAATAGGAAATAGATGTTTTTATGGATGTTCATCATTAAAACACATTAAACCTCAACTAATGCCAGTTATAGAAATGGGAAAGAGTTGTTTCTATGGATGTGGTTGTGAAGAGGAGTTGAGACAAATGGAGGGAATCCCAGAAAATTGTTTTTCAAAATGAAAGATTTGGAACAAAAACTCAAATAGAATAAATTAAAAATGCTATTTTAATTGAATTCATTTTAGGACGTTTATCTTTATTGTGTTATGATGAGAATGATATTTTATGTATACGCAACTTTGCAATGAATATTAGAAATGATCAGTTAAATTGTTATCATATCTGGTATAATTATTGAAATATTCAAGAATTTCGATATTTATTTGTTATATTTAAATAATGTTTACATTCTTTTCATATTAGAGTTATTTATTTAATGGTAATACCATAATATTAGAAGTTAGATATGAGCGTTTTGAAGTAGTATATTTTATTCATTTAAGAAGTAGTAAACTTTAGAACAAATCCTGTAAATGATTAATAAAACAATAGAAAGGATATAAATAATTGACACTTTTAGTTGATTTAGTTAAACGTGTTCTCATAAAAACGATTGAATTTACTTTATTGGGTCAGAAGTATTCGTTTAATCATAATTTTATCGAAAGGCTCAGAATACAAGTCGAATATCATAACAACAACATTAATGATAAACGTATTCATTATCCTTAAATGAAACTAGATTGATTTAATGAAATGATTATAGGTCAAATAACTCAAAAAATATTCTAAAAGAAAGTTAATAAGACCACAGCACGTGTTAAATTAACAATGAATAAGAAAAAAGACTCATTACATAATTATTGAAAGAATATATTATTGAGAATAAAACTGTTTTAAATCAACAAAGAAATAAAATACTAACTAATGTTAAAGAAGATAGATTTTTCTTTAAGAAGAATTTATAAATGATAATCGAATTATGAAATCTCGAATCAAAACATATAAAAACAATGCTATTTAATTATTTCATCATACAGAAAAACCAACTACCATATAAATAAAAGAATATTATATTTAAATGTTGTTATGATAAATTAACTTAAATTTATAAAATAAACAATGGAGAATTTGATGATATTTTATTAAAAATGATATAGATAAAGAATTACTTATCATAATATATGTAATTGAAAGAAAAGATTGATAACATAATAACATATTGAATCATTTAAAAACACATGTTTCAATTTTAGTATTTTTCATGTTATTATGGACAGTGTTTAATGTAGAGATGAAAGTTATTGAAAGAACAAAATAGAAAATAATTTAACAACAAAATATATTATATATAGTTAATACAAAGGAATCAATTGAAATAGAATGAAAGAGAAATACTCTTTTGTCAATGAAGAATATATTATTAATTATATTGAATGAAGTGGTATTGATAAATGATGGAATAACTGAAAATAGAAAATGTGTGAAGATATCAAAATTGCAATGACCATTTTCATTAACTTAAATTAACAATGATACCCCCTCAAAGAAGGAAACACTTGTGTTTGTTTATATTATTTGTACATATGATAAAGACAAGATATTCAATAATTATTACAAAATATTTTTTTCTTAATAATTTCAAAAAAGTGAAGAATGGTCATTTAATAAAAAAGTTTGAAAAGCAGTCGTAGTTTAGGTGGTAAAACACTTACTTAACTTGCAAGTTCAATTTCCTTGTTAACAAGATGTGAGAGTCGAAGGTTCAACTCCTTCCGATTGCATTTTACTTTATTTGTTTTTTGAAATACATAACAAAAAATCAATAATAAAAATACTTTAATGAAACTAAATAAAAACTATTTTGAAACTATTATAAAACCTTAATAAATAAAAACATAAATATTCGGAATTATGTTATTTCAAGAAGAATACTTTAAGAATTACGAGAAAAGAAAACAAAATTACATCAATTAATAACAAAAATTAAAACAATATAGTTTTTATCGTGATAAATAACAAATGAATTGATAGTAAACAAATAGTAATGAACAATACATATACAAAGCTGTTGATTGAAATGTTTTAT